AGAATATCATGTATCATGATGAAATCAATTCTGTTGTGCAACGAATTCGACAAGTGAGTTTATTAGATGAATGATTTAATTATGAAAAAAAGTTTGTAGATGCAACCAATTTTGATGCCACTTCAATTTCGTCCCACTCAAGTTTTTGATGAGACAAAACATGTAGTAGACATGGTAGCTAAGAAATATCTTGAAAAAGCGACTGATGATGTTTATCATCTTGTTCCAATCGAAGTTATTGCTGATGGAAACTGCTTATACCATTTTATTGTTCTTCTAATGAATAATCTAGCAGTAACGACAAGCGAATTACGAGGTATAAGGGTTTTGCTTCCATTTGGGTATTCTACAATTTATTTTGAAATAATTTTTAGTTCGGACGATTATTGAACTTGTGCTAAATGAAAGTTATTACCAAACTATGTATTCACAACACGTCGGACCTATTGACAACGCTATCAAAGCTATTTGCAAGAATTATACATTTTCTGAATTATATGAAATAGCAGCACTATGCAATGTACTTCAATGTGATATACGAAGTGTATATCCAAAAAGTGATTTTCAACAATATATGACAACTTGGGATAACGTCTTTACGCCTGTTTCACCTATTATTGCTAATTGTAACATTGTAATTATGTGGTCACATGCCTTGAATGAAAAAGATGCTCGAGAGGCAAATAATGGCACATGGCGTCCAAATCATTTTGTTCGACTCATTTCACCAGCTATTCATAATGATTCTATCAATGGTAATCAATCAACGTCACTGCCTGTTGTAAGTTATTCATTTGTAAATAAAAATTCGACAACTTTGAAATTTATTTAGACTCCTGAAAAAAATACATTTAAGAATAATACTGTTAGTCAAATAAGAACTCCTGTATTCCAGTCTTCTCCTAATTAGTAGACGTTTATGAACTGAAGACAACATCGGGAATAACTTCACTCAACCAATTATTGCAGATTCAATGGACAAGGAAAAGAATGACAAAAAAGAACAACGTCAAAATCGACTTGAGAAGAAAAGAGAACAAAGTGGATCGAGTCGAATAAATGAAACAGAAAAACAACGACAGATTCGACTCGAAAATGATAGAGAACGAAGTCGATCGCGTCGAATGAATGAAACAGAAGAACAGCATCAGATTCGACTCGAGAAGAAGAAGGAACGAACTCGATCCAGTCGAACAAATGAATCAGAAGTACAGCATCGAGTTCGACTTGAAAAAAACAAGGAATGAACTCAATCCAGTCGAACAAATGAATTAGAAGAAAAGCGTCGGATTCGACTCGAGCAACAAAGAAAACGAAATCAAACGAATAGAGTTAAAAAGAAACTTGAAAAACAGATACATGAAAATATTGATATTGAACAAGGAAATACCGGGATGCAATTCTCCATTCGTCCATCTTGGCCTGAACCGATTCCTCGTGACTTGAAAGAAACTCGTTTGCAACAATTTTTAGAACAAATGTCCATGTCAGTACTGGCTGAAGATACGTGTGCAGTTTGCAATGTCCGTACTCCAGCAAAAGACTCGAAGAAAATACCAGTCTCAAAAATTCCTAATATTCATTTACTTAAAGTTTTTGAGAAACTCAATTATTTAATTATAAACATCCAATCACCATCATTACAACATTCAAGAAGAGACGCCGAAATCTCCAT